TTAGAGATGTGGTCTTGCTCTTGCTCAGGCTATGAGCTCAGGTAATCCGCCCACCTCGGCCTCCCAAGCGCTCAGATTATAGGCACAGCTACCTTGCCTGGCCTGAGCTCAGACATTCAAGACCAGCCTGAGCAAGAGAACCCATCTCTAAAAATAGCCCGGTGTTGTATCGGGCAACTATAGTCCCAGCTTCTTGGGGACTAAGGCAAAAGAACTGCTTACACCCAAGAGTTTGAGGTTGCTATGAGCTGTGATGCCACAGCACTCTACCCAGGCAGACAGCTTGAGATTCTGTCTCAAAAAAGCAAAAAAATTTTTACAGTTTAATGTAAAAATTCAAACCATGATGTAAAATAAAAGTTAAGTGACAGGCTGTTAAGTGATGAAAGGTCAGAATACTGTTCAGTGTATGAACCCACTTTAAAAAGAAAAAAGATAACACATATTGACATACTTAAAATTGCAAATGCAAAGAAAATGTCTAGATGCAGGCATAAGAATTTGTTAATAGCAATGGCCTCAATGGAGCTGAGGACTGAGCAGACTAAAGGGAGGACTTTTATTTTACACCATGGTTTGAATTTTGACATAAAACATGAGTTTTATAATTTTTTAAAAGGCGTTAAGAATTTATTTTTAGTGCCTAACTTCTATTTCTGTTTCACCTTTACACACTGATGATCTCATAGACATGCTAACAAACCTTCATTTAATTGCAAGAAACTATAAACTCATTCATTTTTAGACTTCAAATCCCAAATGGCTCATGGGGGGAAATTTATTTTTTTTGAGATAGAGTCTCACTATGTCCTCCTCAGTAGAGTGCCATTGCATCACAGCTCACAGCAACCTCAAACTCTTGGGCTTAAGCGATTCTCTTGCTTCAGCCTCCCAAGTAGCTGGCACTACAGGTACCCGCAACAACATTCAGCTATTTTTTTGTTGTTGTTGTAGTTGTCATTGTTGTTTGGTAGGCCCGGGCTGGATTCAAATCTGCCAGCCCCTGAGTATGTGGCTGGCACCCTAACTGCTGAGCTATAGGCACAGAGCCATGGGAAGAAATTTTTGAAAATAAAAGTAAACTGAAGTTAGGCGGCTGGCACTGCTCACTATGGAGGTGAGGAGAAAGACTCAGACCTGGCAGAACAGAATAGGTGAAAGGCTATCCAACTCATCAACCAGCACAAGGTTTTTGAGTGGTCTTGGCTGAAAGAAAAATGTATCTCCTTCTTCCAGAGGCATGGCAGATGAGAACTCAGGTTCTTCATCATCATCTCCAAGATGTGCAATCTGATATAAGTAACTGAGGAGAAACACAGAAGAGAAACGTTAGTTAACATGTTCTGTCTAAAGACAATGTCAAACATCAACACGATACAAGAGCTATTAAAATATTATTATTATTAATTTTAAGTGTGATGATGAAGCATGATAGCTGAAAATTGTTCAAAACACTTGAAGGAGGGCAGTGATAGTGGCTATAATCCTAGCACTCTGGGAGGCCACAGAGGAAGGATCACTTAAGGCCAGGACTTCAAGACAAGCCTCAATCAAACTTCTGGCAAGCCTGGGCAACTTAGTGAGACCCCCACCTCTACAAAAAAATTTTAAACCTTAGCTGAGTGTGATGCCATGCACCTAGTTACTTGGGAGGCTGAGGCAGAAGGATGACTTGGGTCCAGGAGTTTGAGGCTGCAGACTGTACTACACTCCACCCTACAGAGTTAAGACTCTGTCTGTCTCTAATTAAAAACAGACAAAGGGCTAGGCGCAGTGGTTCACACCTGTAATCCTAAGCACTCTGGGAGGCCAAGGCAGGTAGACTGCCCTGAGCTCACAGGTTCGAGACCAGCCTGAGCAAGAGCAAGACCCCATCTCTAAAAATAGCCGAGCATTGTGGTGGGCACCTGTAGACCCAGCTACTTAGGAGGCTGAAGCAAGAGAATCACTTGAGCCCAAGAGTTTGAGGTTGCTGTGAGCTATGATGCCACCGCACTCTGCAGAGGGTGACAAAAAGCAAAGATGCACAACCAACATCACTAATCACTAATCTTTAGTGAAAAGCAACATAAAACCACAATGAGATACTTCATACATACTAGGATGGCTATGATTTTAAAAAAGTAGAAAATAGTAAGTGCTAAGTGCCAGTGAAGGATGTAGAGAAATTGGAACCCTCATACACTTTTTTTGGGAAGGTAAAATAGTGCAGCTGCTATGGAAAAGTTTGGTGGCTCCTCAAAAAGTTAAACACAAAAATTACCATATGACTCTGCAATTCCGCTCCTGGGTATATACTCAAAGTATTTAAAATAGGGCCTTAAAGCTGGGTATGGTGGCTCACACTGGTAATCCTAGCACTCTGGAAAGCAGAAGAGGGAAGAGCCCTTGAAGTCAAAAATTTGAGATCAGCCTGAGCAACAGTTGAGACCCCCATCTCTACTTAAAGTAGAAAGAATTAGCCTTCCTACCTTTAGCAGATACTGACAAAATCATGTCATCTTATCTTGTAAGTAATTTGGAGTCTTAGACACTGGTCTTAAAATTGAGACTGGAGTTCATATTTCTTCCATTTAGCAATGAAAAGCCACTTAAGAGCATAATGCAGGGATAGGGAAAATTATTTCATCAAGGTTTGTTGTCTACTTGATGAGATGACTCTAAAAAGGCTGAGTTTTGAAGGAAAGGCAATGAAATGAAAAAAGTAAACTAGTGAACTAGTGCAGATTAGCATCATAAAAAAAGGATACAAAAGTAAAAAGACTTAGCACTTAAAGGCCAACTGGTAGCTCATGCCTATAATCCTAGCACTCTGGAAGATGGAGGCAAGTGGATTGGATTGCTTGAGCCCAAGAGTTTGAGATTGCTGTGAGTTATGATGATGGGGGTAAAGCATTCTTCCCACTGTGACAGAGTGAGTGAGACTTGTTCTCAAAAATATATAAAATTTAGGCTCGGCGCCTGTGGCTCAAGCGGCTAAGGCGCCAGCCACATACACCTAAGGTGGCGGGTTCAAATCCCCAGGCCGGACCCGCCAAACAACAATGATGGCTGCAACCAAAAAATGGCCAGGCGTTGTGGCGGGCGCCTGTAGTCCCAGCTACTTGGGAGGCTGAGGCAGGAGACTCGCTTGAGCCCAGGAGTTGGAGGTTGCTGTGAGCGTGATGCCATGGCACTCTACCCAGGGGGACAGCTTGAGACTCCATTTCAAAAAAAAAAAAAAAATATATATATATATATATATAATTTAAATGAAAGTGGAGGAGGGGAAATAAATTGAGATTTTACGTTTCAGTTGCTAGAACTGACCCATTAGTCGTTAACAGGAACAATGAGGATGGGAGGACTGATTGGTGATGTGGTGGGCAGGTATGGATAATGAATGATAAGCCTCAACTTTAGTTATGTAGTAATGAAGTGCTTAAAGAATATCTCCTTATGTTAAGTAGCTCCCTAAGTATTTATTCGATAGAATGCCCAGCAAAAAGCTCAAGAAAGACATCTCTTCTAAAGATTATGTTTGCAGATAACCACAGAGGAATTGACTAAACCACTAAAGAGAAAAGGAAAGCAAAACTTTAGTTTTGAAGAAACTAAGATATTCTTGTGAAAAGCTACCCAAGCCTTGAAGCCATACCTCCCTCCTGCCAACTTTTACTAGTAACTAGGGTAACCTAGGGTTATAAAGGATTACTTACTGATTTCCAAATTCTGATGCTACAAAAAGGAAGCCTGTTTTAAGCACACACATGGCAGCAGCAACAGGCACAGTATCAAAATATTTGAGCCGGATCTCTGTAACCTAGAGAGAAAAGAATCAAGACTCTAGTGCACAGATATGTGAAGTAAGGCCACCAAAAGTGAACCTAGTACTATAATAAGATGGTACGAACTGACTAGCAAATAAAATACTCTACTTCATATTTAAACTGGGGGTCAGTAAAGTAGCTCCCATGGGCCAGCCACATCCATTCACTTCCATACTGCTGTTACCATGCTACAGTGGTAGAGTTGGAGTATTTGAAACAGAAATTATACGGTCCCCCAAAGTTGCAAACATATACTATCTGGCCTTTAAAAAAAGTATGCCAATTCCTAATCAAAACAGCCACCAAAGAAAGTGCCCTAACGTTCACAGAGCTCTTCCATAGGATGATAGTAGTTAACAGATTGTGTATATTACCAGTTTTCAATAGAAATGGAGAACTTCCTCATAGTGACACCAATTATTACCACCTAAAAGTAATCACTAGAGGTGGCATTACCAGTGTCATTATGTGTAAGGTTACCAAATCAGAAATATGTTAATCAGAGAGAGAAAACTTATATTCATATACCAGTACCAACAGCTTCTAAGTTCCCATTATTTTAATTTGTAACATATTAACTGTGCTGTACCTCATCTCAGAGTAGTTGTACTGAATAAATGGTCTCTAAAACAGAGTTGTAAACCTTAAATGTACATACAAATACAAGTTTTTAAAACATTATTTGATTTTCTTAAATTGTAATAATGTTTACCAAACTACAACCACAACAAATGGGATTTTTTATTTTCCCCTTCCATCCATGGCTTACTTACCATATCTTCATCTGTCTCCAATGTGATCTTGAAGATATCTCCCTGCTCCGTTTGGGCCAAAAAGAAGAACATTGATTTGGTCTTATGGGTGGCAGAGCAGACAAAAATCATTCCTCTTTCAGGGTCATCCAGGTCATTCTAACAAAGTCAAATACAAAACCAACATTTTAGAAATGAGTACTTCTCGAGGCAGCACCTGTGGCTCAGTGGGTAGGACGACAGACCCATATACCAAGGGTGGCAGGTTCGAACCCAGCCCCGGCCAGCTAAAACAACAATGACAACCACAAAAAATGGGTACTTCTCAGTTCTGGATAAAGACCCAGAGCAGCCTACCAGTCAAAGCACTACAACAGCTAAAAAGTCTTATCTGCTATAAATATCCTGGGTAACCAAAAAAAGTCACAATTCTACTCTACAGCCTGATCAGATCTAGCTGAAACTATCTCCAGATAAAAATGTCAGAAAAGACATGAAATTGGGTGGCACCTATGGCTCAAGGAGTGGGACACCAGCCCCATATACCAGGTGGGTTCAAACCCGGCCCCGGCCAAAAACTACAATAACAACAATAACAAAGAGACATGAAATTTAAGAGTCATCATTTCAGGCTGTGAATATAACACGTGTCCATGACACTTCCATCCAACCACCCTGGTTCTATATCAACTGGCTTGATTTCCTAAAAGGTGCAATTCCTTAACTTTTTTTGAGACAGAGTCTCACTCTGTTGCCCTCAGTAGAGTGCCACAGCATCATAGCTCACAGCAACTCTTAGGCTCAAGCAATCCTCTTGCCTCAGCCTCCCAAGTAGCTGCGACTATAGGTGCCCAACACTCAGCTTTTTTTTTTTGAAACAGAGCCTCAAGCTGTTACCCTGAGTAGAGTATCATGGCATCACAGCTTATAGCAACCTCCAACTCCTGGGCTCATACGATTCTCCTGCCTCAGCCTCCCAAGCAGCTGCGACTACATGCACCCACCACAACACCCGGCTATTTTTTGGTTGCAGCTGTTATTGTTGTTGACAGGCCCAGGCTAGATTCAAACCCACCAGCTCAGGTGTATGTGGTTGGTGCCTTAGCCGCTTGAGCCACAGGTGCCAAGCCAACACCGAGCTATTTTTTAGAGACGGGATCTCATTCTTGCTCCTTATGGTCTCAAACTCCTGGGCTCAGGTGATCCACCTGCCTTGGCCTCCTAGAATGCTAGGTTATAGGCATGAGCCACTGTACCCAGCCTTGATTTTTTTTTTTTTATGTTCCAACATTTTGTTATTTCTCGCATTCATGAAGTTTCGTGTTCATGAGTGAGAAAAATAGCAAAATGGATGAGATTTTTTTTTTTTTTTTTTTTTGAGACAGAGCCTCAAGCTGTCCCCCTGGGCAGAGTGCCGTGGCATTACAGCTCACAGCAACCTCCAACTCCTGGGCTCAAGCGAGTCTCCTGCCTCCGCCTCCCAAGTAGCTGGGACCACAGGCGCCCGCCACAACGCCCGGCCATTTTTTGGTCGCAGCCGTCATTGTTGTTTGGCGGGTCCGGGCTGGTGATTCGAACCCGCCACCTTAGGTGTACGTGGCTGGCGCCTTAGCCGGTTGAGCTATAGGCGCCGAGCCGATGAGATTTTTTTAAGCTCTTCAAAAAGTTTTATCTGTCTTTGTCGCTGCAAAGCCAGCTCTAACAGAGTTAGGTGCTCAATAAATGTTTGATCAACTGAGTGACTTTCCATCCCTTGTCAAAAATAATTTGACCTGTCAAATTTCTTCTCATGTTTTCTAAAATTGACAGAATCCTACTTAGATATCATGTGTTAGATTAACTAAACAAATCCTAAAAGTTAAAACTGGGACAAATAAATATTAAAAAGCAAATAAATAATCCAAGGGTGAGAAGAGAGATTACAGTAAATGATTCAGGGGAAGGGTCAACACCAAAACCACTGGGTGAAAAGATGCTGGTGAAAAGGATATTTACTAGTCTCTAAGATCACCACTTGACTGGGGGCAGTGAATTATATGCATATAATCCCACCCCTCTGGAAGGCTTAAGTAGGAGAGTCACTTGAAGCCAGGAGTTTAAGAGCACCCTGAGCAACATAATGAGACCCTATCTTTAGGAAAAAAAATTAAAAAACAAAACAAAACAAAACACAGATCCAAAAAAGTATCTTCACAATGAGTGAGCAGATGCCATCTTAACAGTGTCCCAATGAGAAAATCCAACACTATGTAACATGCAATGTGATATAGTGGGAAATACCTATCACTACCTATCAAAAGCTCTCTATCAAAAGAATTAAGCTGGGGGCAGCACCTATAGCTCAGTGAGTAGGGTGCTGTTCCCATATACCAAGAGTGGCAGGTTTAAACCTGGCCCAGGCCAGCTAAAACAGCAATGACAAATGCAACAAGAACAACAACAAAGCCGGGCATTGTGGCAGACGCCTATAGTCCCAGCTACTCGGGGGGACTGAGGCAAGAAAATCGTTTAAGCTTAAGAGTTGGAGGTTGCTATGAGCTGTGACGCCACAGCATTCTACTGAGAGCTACAAAGTTAGACACTGTCTTAAAACAAAACAAAATAAAAATTAAGCCTGTGGCTCAAGTGGCTAAGGCGCCAGCCACATACACCTAAGGTGGTGGGTTCGAATCCAGCCCAGGCCTGCCAAAACAACGACAGCTGCAACCAAAAAATAGCCAGGTGTTGTGGCGGGCGCCTGTGGTCCCAGCTACTTGGGAGGCTGAGGAAGGAAACTCGCTTGAGCCTAGGAGTTGGAGGTTGCTGTGAGCTGTGATGTCAGGGCACTCTACCCAGAGGGACAGCTTGAGGCTCTGTCTCAAAAAAAAAAAAAAAAAAAAGAACTGCACATAAGTATATTACACAAAATTTTAAATGTCGTAGGTATGATACTGGCAGTGTGGTTATGTAGGAAAATGTCTTTGTTCTCAGGAACCACAAATTGGGAGCTACTTGAAGTATAATGTCTACAACTTCTTTTCAATTATTTAGCCTAGAAAAGGTGTATGAATATATCATGAGAAAGAAAAGGCAAATGTAGCAAAACAATAATAGATGAAACGAAGTGATAAGCATATAGGAATTCATTGTGCTATTATTTTTAAATCTCCTATATGTTGAAATTTTTAAAAACAAAACACTGGAACAAATTAAGAAAAAAACAAAAGACAATCTATTTCCGACAATTATATGTCTGGCTTCCCCAAACTAGAAAACTTCAGGGACAGTTGAGATGGCTCATGCCTGTAATCCCAGCACACTGGGAGGCTGAGGCAGGTAGACTGCCTGAGCTCACAGGTTAAAGACCAGCCTGAGCCAGACCAAGGCCTTGTCTCTAAAAATAGCTGGGCTTTGTGGCAGGTACCTGTAGTCCCAGGTACTTGGAAGGCTGAGGCAAGAGAATCACTGGAGTCTAAGAGTTTGAGGCTGCTGTGAAGTATGACACCACGGCACTCTACCAAGGGTGACAAGGGAGACTGTCTCAAAAAAAAAAAAAAAAAACACCCGCCCAGCCCAGAATTTTTTTTTTTTTTTTTTTTGAGACAAAGTCTTACTCTATTGCCCTAGGTAAAGTGCCATGCATCACCACTCACTAAAACCTTAAACTTTTGGGCTCAAAAGATCCTCCTGCTTCAGCTTCTTAAGTAGCTGGGACTACAAGGCACTAGCCATGATACTCAGCTAGCAGAAACATTCAGGAATTTTAAACTGATACTTAGACAATTATCAGGCTCCTTTGAAATGGCAATTATGTTAATTTTTAATTCACTTTCACAAAGAATTTGTTTTGCTTTTACTAAAAAAAAAATTTTTTTTTTTTTTGAGACAGAGCCTCAAGCTGTCACCCTGGGTAGAGTGCCGTGGCATCACAGCTCACAGCAACCTCCAACTCCTGGGCTCAAGCGAGTCTCCTGCCTCCGCCTCCTAAGTAGCTGGGACCACAGGCACCCACCACAACGCCCAACTATTTTTTGGTTGCAGCCATCATTGTTGCTTGGCGGGCCCGGGCTGGATTTGAACCTGCCACCTTAGGTGTATGTGGCTGGCGCCCTAGCCACCTGAGCCACAGGCGCCGAGCCTTTACTAAAATATTTTACCAGATATATTAAAACAACATACAAAACACTAAAACTTGACAACAGAGAAACTAAGAGCCTACATTATAATTATAAAAATTAAATTCATTTCACAAACATGAATACCTCTTTCTCTTATAGCAAAGACCTTACCCGTCTCCTAGGAATTGGACAGCGGATATCTGGTTGGTCACCAAAGTTTTTGTAAGTAATATAGTTTTCAGAGCAGATCAGCACTCCACTTGGACCATCTGACCCTCCCGGAACTGTCAGAGAAAATAAAACATAACAGTGAATTGATATACTCATAAACCAATTTAGCTTCCAACGCCTCATCTCCTTCAGCACAACTTGATGGGGCTCAGTTCTTAGCTTCAGACCTATAATTCAATTATCTACTAGACATGGACATGCTACAGGTACTTTATTTATTTAGTTACTTTTTTAGAGACAGAGTCTCACTTTGCTGCCCTCAGTAGAGTGCTGTAGTATCACAAATCATAGCAACCTCAAACTCTTGGGCTCAAGCAATTCTCTTGCCTCAGCCTCCGGAGTAGCTGGGACTACAGGCGCCTACTACAACACCCAGCTATTTCTGGAGACGAGGTCTCCATCTGGCTCAGGCTGGTCTTGAACTCCTAAGCTCAGGCAATCTACCGCTTCAGCCTCCTGGAGTGCTGGGATCAAAGGCATGAGCCACCACACCCAGCCCCACAGGAGGTACTTTAAAAATAAAATACTGTAGTGTAAAAAATAAAGGGCGGCGCCTGTGGCTCAAAGGAGTAGGGCATTGGCCCAAATACCAGAGGTGGCAGGTTCAAACGCAGTCCCGGCCAAAAACTGCAAACAAACAAACAAAAAAAAACAACGCTGTAGTCTTAAACTCAAGTTCCTTCTAATCTCCTGCTTTACAGTCTTATCTTCCATTAACCAAAATGTAAGCAAGTACTCTTTCTAAAATGTCACCCATCAAGGTATTATTTCCTCACTTAAAATCCTTCAGCAGTTTCCACCTCATTCCTACCCCAACCTTTTAACAATCCAATCACAAACAGCTTTCGGTTCTCTCAATGAACCATATTACTTCTTATATTTTGGGCCTCTGTGCATCCTGGTCCCTCTGTTCAGAACAGAAACTTCCTCTCCCATCCCTACTTATACCTAGCTAACTTCTAACTGCTCCTCAGGTGTCAGCTTAGAGAGCACCTTCCTTTCCCTGAGTTAGGGACAACTCCTCTATGCTATCATGGCACTTGGAACAGTCTCCAGTATTTTGTTGTTGTTGTTATTTATCTGTATTTACCACTAGACTCGATCTTGTACAAAGGGAGGTACCATATCTAATTTCTTCACAATTGTAGTCCCAGAACTCTGTAGAATGACTTGGCACATATTGATTACAGAGGATCAATAAAAATTTGTTGAATAACGAAGCCCTTATAAATGAAAGGTATAATAATGTTAAGTAATGAGATGTAGAACCTATTTTTTTCTTTTTCCTTTTTTTTTTGAGACAAGAGTCTCACTTTGTTGCCCTCAGTAGAGGGTGGTAAGCCTCATAGCTCACAGCGACCTGAAACTCTTGGACTTAAGCGATTCTCTTGCCTCAGTCTCCTAAGTAGCTGGGACTACAGGAGCCCCCCCAACACCTAGCTGTTTTTTAGAGATGGCGTCTCACTCTTGCTCAGGCTGGTCTAGAACCCATGAGCTCGGGCAACCCACCCGCCTCTGCCTCCCAGAGTGCTAGGAGTATAGGCATGAGCCATGGTGCTCAGCCTTGCATGTCATTCTTGGGCAGGGGCCATGCTAATCTTCTCTGCATCATTCCAATTTTAGTATTTGTGCTGCTGAAGCAAGCTCTAGAACCTATTTTTAATGATTCATCTGTGCATACCATCTCTTAAGATTTAATGCTCAAAAACAAGTGCTATCTTATTTTAATCTCCAAAGTCCTCCTCAACAACAAACGTTTTGGTTATCAATTCAAATGCAACTGATTCAAAATACAAAGAACTGGATCACTGCCTTCCCCAAACTTGGGGAAATATAAATGGCCAGAAATAAAGCTGTCCTCCTTTACCCTTTTAATAGATGAATTAGCGTGATATTTATTTTCTACTGGTGAACCATCTTTGAGTTCCTCCAAAATCTTACCCTATGTGCATTTAAAACACTGTCTAATTTGACTTGCTAAACCCATTAAGTTTGAATACAAAATGGACCAAGTAAAAGGGTACAGAGCAGCTATGAAAGAAAAGTACCTGTAATAAGGAAGTTGCCATGTTCTTCCAAAGGTTCACTATATTTTCGGACCACGTGATTTAAACCAAGGTCTAGCTCATAGAAAGTAAGTGTCTGCTGGGTATTAGCTGCTGCTTCCCCTGTGGGATCATTATCTGCTTCCTATAGAGAGGAGAGGCACAAACACTTATTAGCAGCATAAAATCAAAGAATTTTTACATCTGGAAAGGACATCAGGACTCCTCCGTTTACCAACAAGGAAATAGAAGTCCACAAATGTCCAATGGTTTAACCAAGTTTACCCTACTAGTAAATGACAGAGATTGAACAAGAATCCAAATCTTTAAATTCTGGATCCAAGAATCCCTCTACTACAGGATACTGCCTTCCATTCAAGGCAAAGAATGGTATGTTCTGCTTTTCTTTATTTCCCTATGAAAAAAAAATACCCTAGTATTTTTCAAGCATCTTTTAGTGAAAAGATGTTTTCCATGGGGAGCAAAGGTTATTATTAGATTAAGTAAGAAATTATTATTAGATCAAGTTAAGAAATGTCTGATTTCCTTAAGTAATAAGTTTGACAGTTGCTATCTCTGACATTTCACTTCAATGCCTGCTCTTTTTTATCAGGAAGGTATATCCTAATTCTTCTGAACACGTTTTGGCTTGTATTTATCTCAATGAGCTAAGTAGGTGACCTGAGATCAAAGTGTATAATGTTGAGCTGAAAGGTGTAGTGGAAGTGAATACATCTCAATCTATGTACAAATTAGCAGCAAAATTTGACGTTATTATTGCAACAATATTAGACCACTTGAAAAAAATCAGGAGGGTAAAGAAGCTGGATAGATGGGTTCCACAAGCATTCAACAAACATCAGAAAAGATATCGCCTTTAGACTTGCCTTTCTTTGTTGTCACGACATAAAGGCAAACCATTTCTACACTGTATTGTTTCATGTGATGAAAAATGGATTCTTTCTGACAATCAAAAGCATTCAGCATAACTGCTGAATAAAGATGGAAGTACCCAAACAGTCACAAACCAAACATTCATCAAAAATGCTAATGGTGTTGTTTGGTGGTCCAGTGCTGGTATTATCTACCACAGCTTCATAAAAACTGGTCAAAGGATTACAGCGGATGTCTACTGCAACCAATTGGACAACATGATGAGGATGCTTGTGATTAAGCATCTGAGACTGGTCAACAGAGACAGGCTAATTCTCTTGCAAAGTAACACTGTTGCACAAACATAGCTGTGATCCACCATGTTAATTAGACCTTTACCAATTGACTACCACTTCTTGCAAGGAAAAATACTCAATTCTCACTGAGCTGTGGAAAGTACCTTTTGTTGATTTTAGCACCACTCACTCTCTAGGCTTCTTTCCCGTTGGCATACATGACCTACTGTTAAAATGGAAAACTTTCGATAGTTTAGGGGCATACTTTAATTGTATTGCTTCTTGTTTGAGATGTAATAAACTAGATTTTTTTTTTTTTTTTTTTGAGACAGAGCCTCAAGCTGTCCCCCTGGGTAGAGTGCCGTGGCATTACAGCTCACAGCAACCTCCAACTCCTGGGCTCAAGCGAGTCTCCTGCCTCCGCCTCCCAAGTAGCTGGGACCACAGGCGCCCGCCACAACGCCCGGCTATTTTTTGGTTGCAGCCGTCATTGTTGTTTGGCGGGTCCGGGCTGGGGATTCGAACCCACCACCTTAGGTGTACGTGGCTGGCGCCTTAGCCAGTTGAGCTATAGGTGCTGAGCCATAAACTAGATTTTTGATTCGAAATCAGACATTTCATATTGAATGACCTAATTTACCATATATTGTTAATTAAGCTCTGAAACATTCCAAAGAATTTCAGTAAGACATTTGGAATATGGAAAAAATGAGATTTAAGATACGCACAAGGAAGAAAACAGTCTTAGGAAAACAATGAGGTTACCCAAAGAGAAAAATATGGTCCCCATTACCTCATAATCCATTTCCAGACAAGCAAACATTGGATTTTCAAATCCCACATCTACTCCAACTACATGATATACTAAAGTGTTTGCTTTGTGGGCTTCCAAGGGAGATGAAATGGTAAGTCGGGCTGCAGCATCTCTGTTCAAGATATACACCAATTTCTGTTTCTCAATGGCACCTATAGTCAAAAAAGATTTCCAGATAATGAAAAGATTTACAGAATAACTAGATTTACATTCTGATTATTATTTTTAAAAATCACAGCTTTCATTATTAACAGCTAGCACTAACTCTATAAGTGCAGTAACCCATGATTCTGTTTTCTATCCTTAAAATAAGTAACAGCATAATTCTGGCCTCTTCCTTCCTAATGGGATCTTAATAACACATTAACTCTTTAAAATTTTTAAATGTGTCCTAGATTTAAGGTTACTGAAAAACTAAATAACTCATAAACAGGTTAATTTTAATTTTATTCTTTGTATACCTAGCAGTTTTTTGACTGCTCAGAAAAGATTGCCCTCTAGAGGCCCGATCAGATACACAGAATTTTCTTCAAGAATTTATCAGAGAAGAGACATGAATGTGACTCATCATTTCAGGCTGATGAAGGCAACCATACTCATTGTCTACTACCCTAAGATCATTTCACTATAGCCTTTTTACTATACAAATGGAGTAAATTTTAAAAAAAAAAATCCTATTTCCAACTAGAAGCAAAGTTTAAAAAGTGCATTAAGACTTTTTCCATTATTTTTAAAGAAAATGCCAAACTTTACCCATATAAGCGATGCAACAGCACATTGTCAAGGTCACAGCACTATTATCCTAAATTGAGCATTTATAAAAGAGATGTACTCAATAGAGCCAAGTAGAGCAAGTCACTCACTAATCATAACAGCACGGCCTTTGGGATCCACAGCTAAGAACTGGCCAGGAACAATACGGCGACATCCACTCTTGCCAAAGGTTTCTTGGTGAATTTTCTCAAACATATTCTTGGATGGCTGGTATTCCAAGATAACAATTCGACCAGAGTCACTGCCTACTACAATGTAGTCTTTGGTGCCACCTGTCAATCTAAAGGCCATGAGTGACCGGATAACACCAAATACTTCCACAGTGAGAAGGGTATGTACTTTGCCAGTGTTGGGGTCTGGGCGAAGCAGCTCCAAGATCTTTCCACGAGAAACAACAATTTCCTGTTGTTTGGTTCCTAGATCACCAAAAAATAAAGATCATAAACATCCAGAACTAGTCTAAAAAGTAACCTGGATAAATGGAAATGATACTAAAGATAATTCAACAAGTTGAGGACCCAGTGCTTTAAGTTAATTTACTTTATTTGAAAAAGCATTTTACCTAGAACTGAAATAATCTAATAAAAGAAGTATCAAGGCTCGGCACCTATGGCTCAAGTGGCTAAGGTGCCAGCCACATACACCTAAGGTGGTGGGTTCAAATCCAGCCCCGGCCCACCAAACAACAATGATGGCTGCAACCAAAAAATAGCCGGGCGTTGTGGCGGACACCTGTGATCCCAGCTACTTGGGAGGTGGAGGCAGGAGACTTGCTTGGGCCCAGGAGTTGGAGGTTGCTGTGAGCTGTGATGCCACTGCACTCTACCCAGGGGGATAGCTTGAGGCTCCGTCTCAAAAAAAAAAAAAAAGAAGTATCAAAAAAAGCTTTTTAAAAGTGGTCGGACAAGCTACTTTTAATTAATTTCCTCTTTTTTGACATAGAGTCTCATTCTGGAGCCCAAGTTGGAATGCAGTGGCCCAATCATACCTCACTGCAGCCTCAAAGTCCTGAGCTTAACGGATCCTCCCACCTTAGCCTCATAAGTAGCTAAGAATACAGGCACACGCCAGGTGTAGCCATGGCACCCAGCCCATCAGTTATTTAAGAGTTGTCACTAATTGGCGGCTCGGCACCTATAGCTCAAGTGACTAAGGCCACATACACCAGAGCTGGAGGGTTTGAATCCAGCCCAGGCCTGCAAAACAACAATCACAACTACAATCAAAAAATAGCTCATTGTTGTGGCGGGTGCCTATTGTCCCAGCTACTCGGAAGGCTGAGGCAAGAGAATTGCTTAAGCCCAGGAGTTGGCAGTTGCTGTGAACTGTGATACCACAGCACTCTACCCAGGATGACAGCTTGAGGCTCTGTCTCAAAAACAAAACAAACAACAACAAAACCCCCGCTAATTGGGAATTACCCATAAATGATATTAGTGTATAATATATAATAACATAAGATTGAAATTCTCCAAAGAGGCCAGGCACAGTAGCTCACATCTGTAATCCTAGCACTCTGGGAGGCCAAGATGGTGGATTGCAGAGCTCACAGGTTTGAGGCCAACCTGAGCCACAGCTACCTGGGAGGCTGAGGCAAGAAAATCACTGGAACCCAAGAGTTTGAGGTTGTTGTGAGCTATGACGCCACAGCATTCTGAGGGTGACAAGTGAGACTCTGCCCCCCCCCCCGCAAAAAAAGAACAGAAATTCTCCAAAGACTCTTTTCAGTCCATCTTTAAGGATACTATTCTTTTTTTTTTTTTTTTTTTGAGACAGAGCCCCAAGCTGTCCCCCTGGGTAGAGTGCCGTGGCATTACAGCTCACAGCAACCTCCAACTCCT